TACCTGTTTTTGGTTTCCGTACTGTCAGTGCTTGTTCTATCTGGACTTATCTCTCTGTTCCTCATCTCATTCAAGATGGCCAGCTTCCTATTCGAGGTTCCTCATCTGTTTTGGTTATTAATTCTTGTTTAATTTATAATCACTTTCATTAATATTCTCATTCAATTTATAATCTTTGTTTAATTTCGATTCGTGGGGTGTGAGTGGCATCAATTTTGCTTCTGCTCCCACCGAAGCATTTTTGGGTGTGGCATTCAGCTATACCAAATGTTTATTTGTTTTCTAAATTCTGTTTTGTGTGGTTAGATGTTTGTAATTTATTTAAATTACAGGAGAGGAAGACATGGAGAGAATGATAACGAACGTACCAGGAATGGAAAATCTTCTGAGATGCAGAGACCTCCCAGGTTTCTGTCGGGTCACAGACATAAACGACTATCTTCTCCAATTCATTGTCGAACAAACCCAACGAAGCTACGAGTTTCACTCCCTCATATTGAACTCATTCCAAGATTTGGAAGGACCCATTCTCGAAAAGATTCGAACTTTGTGCCCAAATCTCTATGCCATCGGACCCCTTCACGCCCTTCTCAAAGCCAAATTCTCCAACGAAACAGAGTCTTTGAACAATCTGTGGGAGGTCGACCGGAGCTGTTTGAAATGGCTGGACAATCAGCCGCCGGGATCCGTGATTTACGTCAGTTTTGGAAGCATTACGGTAATGGGGAAGGAGAAGCTCGTGGAGTTTTGGCATGGGTTGGTCGATAGTGGGCGGAATTTTTTGTGGGTTGTAAGGCCAGACCTCGTGAGGGGCGAAAATGGGGATGTTGAAATTCCAGCGGAGTTGGAGGAGGGGACGAGAAAGAGAGGGTGCATGGTGGGTTGGGCGCCGCAAGAGGAAGTGCTGTCCCACGAGGCAGTTGGAGGGTTTTTGACGCATAGTGGTTGGAACTCGACTTTAGAGAGCGTGGTGGCAGGGAAGCCAATGATCTGTTGGTCGTATATTGCGGATCAGCAGGTGAACAGTAGATTTGTGAGCAATGTGTGGAAGTTGGGGTTGGATATGAAGGATGTGTGCGATAGAGGAACCGTGGCGAAAATGGTGAACGAGCTTATGGTGGATAGAAAAGAGGAATTCATGAGATCCGCGGCTGCAATGGCTAATTTGGCAAAACGAAGTGTGAGCCCTGGTGGATCGTCGTATGCTGATTTTGACCGTCTCGTCCAAGACATTAGATTGCCGAGCCAATAGACAACAGCAGAGAGCTGATATTGTTAGTGAGAGTAAAGTGTGAGCCCTGGTGGATCGTCGTATGCTGATATTGCTAGCATGCATTTGTTTGACAGAGTACCCTTTGGTGCATAACTTAACAAGTTAGTTTCCTCCACCCAAAAATATAATTGCTTACATTGAATATTCTAACTACAAAACAAGAAAAGAAAGGGGCCGCCTTCCACCTTCCCCACCCCAATAAAATCCAACCACAATCCCTAACAGAGTCATCCAATCTCCAATGTCAATCGCCATGGAATCACAAGCAAACCCTCATGTTCTTCTCTTCCCCGCCCCCGCCCAAGGCCACATCAACCCTATGCTCAAGCTGGCCGAGCTCCTTTCTCTTGCCGCCGTTCCAGTCACATTCCTCACCACCGAACACTCCCACCGCCAACTCACCCTCCACTCCGACGTCCTCCTTCGCTTCTCTCGCTTTCCGACCTTCCAATTCCAAACCATCGCCGACGGCCTCCCCGACTCCCACCCTCGCACCTTCACCCAACACCTCCCTGAAATGTTATCCTCCTTCAAATCCATAGTCAAGCCCCTCTTCAGAGACATGCTGGCCTCCTCCCATTTCACCCCAAATCTCACCTGCCTCATCCTCGACGGCTTCTTCAGCTTCCTTGTTGACATCAACGACGATTTCGTTAAAGTCCCTATCTTTTGTTTCCGTTCTTTGAGTGCTTGTTCTTCCTGGTCCGTTCTCTCCATTCCTTATCTCATCCAACACGGTCAACTTCCTATTAAAGGTACTCTGTTATAATCCTTCGATTACATCTTATTAATTACTTGAGCTATATCTTAAATTGAACATGTGAAAATTGCAGGGGAGGAAGATATGGATAGGATCATAGATAAGATTCCTGGTATGGAGAATCTTCTCAGATGCAGGGATCTGCCTGGCTTCTGCCGAGCCGCTGACCCAAATAATGACCCAGTTCTGCAATTCGTCGTGAATCAGTCGATACGAAGCACAAAATTCGACGCTCTCATTTTGAACTCATTCGAAGATTTGGAAGGACCCATTCTCTCAAAGTTTCGAACTTTATACTCCACAATCTACCCCATTGGACCCCTTCATGCCCTTCTCAAAGCCAAACTCGCCAACGAAGAAACAGAGTCGTCGAACAGCATGCGGGAGGTCGACCAGAGCTGTTTGCCGTGGCTTGACAATCAGCCGCCGGGATCCGTGATTTACGTCAGTTTCGGAAGCATTACGGTAATGGGGGATCACGAGCTGATGGAGTTTTGGCATGGGTTGATCGATAGCGGGAGGAATTTCTTATGGGTTGTGCGGCCGGACCTCGTGAGGGGCAAAAATGGGGATGTCGAAATCCCGGCGGAGTTAGAAGAGGGGACGAGACAGAGAGGGTACATGGTGGGATGGGCGCCGCAAGAGAAAGTGCTTTCCCACGAAGCGGTGGGAGGATTTTTGACCCACAGCGGTTGGAATTCGAGCTTGGAAAGCATAGTGGCAGGGAAGCCGATGATTTGTTGGTCGAATGCATTCGATCAGCAAGTGAACAGTCGATTTGTGAGCAATGTGTGGAAGTTGGGTCTGGACATGAAGGATTTGTGCGACAGAGAAACAGTGGCGAAAATGGTGAATGAACTTATGGTGTATAGAAAAGAGGAATTCATGAGATCGGCTGCTGAAATGGCTAATTTGGCTAGACGAAGTGTGAGCCCTGGTGGATCATCGCACCTCAATCTTGACCGCCTCATCCAAGACATCAGGATTTCGAGGCAACAGCAAAAGATGCCCAATTAGTGGCCTCCAACTAATCAAATTATTATTTGAATCATCATTAAGCATTATTCAATCCTTCTAATCGTTAATAAATGTGCACTTATAATAACCACAAAAATTACAAATTTTAATTGCATCAGTAGGAAAGCGTCAATCAAACAACATTCAATTAATTAAACCATTAAGAACAAAAAATATTGTATTTTGATTAAATACCAGAATAAGGTAATTAAATTAATATTGTATCACATTCTCATTTTTACATTTTTTTTTTAAAACAAAAAACACATCATTAATCTAGTGAAAAATATTTTAGATTGTTTTATTGTTAAAAAAAAAAAAATTCATTCGTCCACATTTTTTTTATAAAAGAAACCCTAAAAAATACTTTTTTTTTTTTTTTTGGTTGAAGATATTTTAAAACTCGTTGAAAATGTCCACCTTTTCAGAAACACCATTAAAATATATATATATATATATATATATATATATATATTTATCAACATTTAAAACATTAATTATTCAACCTTGAAATTATTTTATTATAAATTTATTTATACATATTTTATTAAACTTTTGACTTTTGAGTTTATGGAACATTTTTTAATTTAAGAAAATCATATTGTTTTGAAAATTTTAAATTGGTTGATTTCTTAAATTTTGAATATATATTTTAAATAATTAAATTAGGTTTGAAATAAAGTTAATAGTGAAAATAATCTTTATATTGATATGATAAAGCTTTGGAATCGAATTTTTACTTTTATATTTTAATTGAATGGTTCGTTATAATGGAGCATAAAGTCATTTTAATGGTTAATATTGTTTGACTTCTTATGCAACATATTTTTCATATGTATATTTTAATTTTAATTTATACCGATAAAGTAATTCATTTTAAATATGATTAGGGTATCTATTAATTTATAATATAATTAAATTTGAAATCTTTTTTAAAATTACAAAATATATATATATATAAATATGAAGTATACAATAAGCACGTCGGTGTATATATATATATATTTTTAAATGACGACATCTCATATAAATTTGTGTGTATATATATATATATATTTCATGTCATATTTGGTATTTGCTAAGGTGAAAATAAATGAATTTAAATGTTTGTAAAAAGTTTTTAAAACAAATATATTATTTTGTATAATGGGAAAAAGATTTAGGCAACTAAAAAACTGATGCGAATTAAGTGGGACCTTCTGTCCCTTTCCAAATTCGACATTTTGGACTGCCATCAATGGACCAAAAGAAAAACTTTTTTTTTTTTTATTTATTTTTTTTTCTTTTAAATCAGTAATATCTCTTTGCGGATTATATATATAATATTATTTTTTGGAAACAGAATATAATCAATTATTTGATTTGAGAATAAATTATTTATTTTGCCTTTATATTTGTAATTTTATTTCCTTTTATGTACCCTCTTGTTTTTATCCTAACCATTTCCCAAATATAGAAATCAATTAATGTACATAAAATTTAGAAAGAAAAATAATAAAATAATAATATCTCTTACGGTACATAGTTCTGTCCGTCTTTAATGTTACTGTTTGGCTTAGAGAGAATGAGTAGGACTGTCTCTCTCTCGATGTTCTATTGTTCAAAACACGTCGATCTTTCAAAGTTTTAGAGGATCAAACTTGAATCTATAGAATTCAATTGGATTTGATCATAAATTCAACGTCGGTCTGGAATTTCCACACATGAATGATTTTTTTTTAATCTAAAATACAAATGTGAAAAGAAAAAGTCGTGGTTGGACTATAGTGTTTTTATATTAAGTTTTTTATTTTTTATTTTGAAATAATCATCTTGCCATTATTCGCAAAATTCAAATATTTCATGCATATTTCAATCAGCGGTTGCCGAAAAGCATATTATAACATAAAATGGGAATCTACTTGTGAAAATTTGTAAGGTGTAGAAAGGAGGAATATAAAAATTAATTTTTATGCGTTTTCAATGAGAAAAGGGAATAGTTATCGTCGACAAAGATATTAAAGAGGTCGCTGCCTCTCAATTCCCACTTCAAATCGGCGAAATTTTAGTCCGTTGACGGAGATTCTTTTTCATTCTTCGTTTTTCGTTCTTGGGTCGTGCAAAGAATTTGCGGCCGACATCATACCTGCCAGCGCCTAGTTGCTGTGTGAATTGTGAGAAAAACAGGGGAAGCAAGCAGAGACTGACATATTTGTATGTTGAATTTAGATTTGCGGAAATGGTAGCATATTTAATACGGAATCTGTGCTTATTTTGATTTTTGGGAACAACAGCGTGCAGCAGAGCCACCACAACGGCGCCCTCCTGGATTTGACTTGCATATACGAAGAGCGGGGGGAAGATAGCGGATCCCTCGCGGCTAAACGCCGGACGCAGGAGGAACACCCGCTAATGGCACGGACCAATGACGCCGATGTGGAAAAACTGGAGGTTGCTGTACCGGAAACTGCCCATCAGATCAGCAGTGGTTCGTTGTTCTTCGTTTTCGTCTTCATTTTTAGCTTTTCTGATGTGGGTCTTTCTGTTTCTGGATTTTGATTCCATCGGCTCTTTTAGGATGCCTTTTTGTGAAATTACAGGACGACTATGATCAAACGAAGTTCATGTTCATTTCTTAGAGGATAAACTTCAATTTCTTGTTTGTCTGACATTGGTTGTTTAGATTTCAATGAAATTTTCCTTAAATTTGATCTTAAGATTAGGGGTTTGCCCTCTCTAGACCCTCTTTGAGCTAACTTGGTTGGTTTTTGCAATTCCCAGATTCATGGTTTCAAGTAGGTTTTGTTCTTACCACTGGTATCAACAGTGCTTATGTTCTGGGATACTCGGGTACTATAATGGTTCCTCTGGGTTGGATATCTGGAGTAGTTGGATTAATTGCAGCCACAGCCATTTCATTATATGCAAATACTCTTATTGCCAAGCTCCATGAACTTGGTGGGAAGAGACATATCAGATACAGAGATCTAGCAGGCTTTGTATATGGTATGAGAAGAGACCAAACTAAGGGAGTTCTTGCTTTGCCTCCTTTTTCATTACCCTTTCTTATGGCTTTCTTCTTGCAGGTAGGAAGGCTTATGCTCTTACATGGGGATTGCAGTATGTCAATCTTTTCATGATTAATGTGGGATTCATCATCTTAGCCGGCCAGGCCTTGAAGGTGAGATCATTAGAACTACACTGATCTTACTTTTAAACTCATGAAATTGCTGAGTCTTCGTAACGTAGGATTCGAATAGCTTGAAAAGTATTATTGAAGTGTTGGGGTAGGTTGCCTGTTTTGACTATGATCCTTCCTTTGCTCCATGTTTGATGACTTTTGCATAAAAGTCAAGCAAATTACGGTCGGTTGCCATCTGTTGTTTCTTAATATCCAACTTATTATTTCTTTGTTTCCTACGAAAAAGTCTTGGTGTTGGCGTGTATCAAGTTGGAATGAAACTTTTGACCTATTGAAATCTTGTCTGATGAGACTACCTTGCCAATAATCTTTTGAACTTCGATGGACCGATATTTTATGGAGAAATGGATTAAGAAAGTCAGGGTCCATTCAATTTGCTGTCGGTTATAATTAAAGAACGAAAGCAAGCACGAAAACAAAAAGTCGGGTTTTCTTATGAACAATTGAAACAGGTCACTTTTATCGAAAACTAAGTTACTCGACAATTTGTTCTGTTTGTATCTTATGTTGGCTTGTTGGATAAATGATGAAAAGTGTGACTATACATTGTTTAATATAGAATCCTTTTTGTATTGTAAACCATGAGATTGATTACTTGAATGTTGTGCAGGCTGTTTATATCCTTTTCAAGGATGACAATGTGATGAAACTTCCCTATTTTATAGCCATTGCTGGCTTCATTTGTGCGTTGTTTGCAATATCAATACCCCATTTATCAGCTCTAAGACTTTGGCTGGGATTCTCAACTCTCTTCAGTTTGATATACATCCTTGTTGCGTTCATATTGTCTGTTCGGGATGGTAAGTTTCACTTCCATTGTCAGGGTTTTGTTCAATACAATATTTTCAATGATATGGATCTTGAACTTAGAGGATCATTATGTGTGGTTTCTGCTGTTTTAGGAGTTAAAGCACCTGCAAGAGATTATAGCATTCCAGGTTCGTCGGCAAGCAAAATCTTTACGACGATAGGGGCAGCTGCTAATTTGGTTTTTGCCTTTAATACTGGAATGCTTCCTGAGATTCAGGTATGGCAAGAACTTAAAGTCCTTGTTTTCTGAATTACATTACTCCTTTCAGATTGTTACTAGATTCGTACGGTTTTGAACTTATCTTCTTCAAACCTTCATTGCTGTAAAAATTGTTGTTGTAGGCGACGGTGAGGCAGCCGGTAGTCAAGAACATGCTAAAGGCTCTGTACTTCCAGTTCACGGTCGGGGTTTTGCCGATGTATGCTGTTACTTTTGCTGGATACTGGGCATATGGGTCTTCCACCTCAGCTTACTTACTCAACAACGTAAACGGTCCAGTTTGGATTAAGGCAATGGCAAACATATCGGCGTTCCTTCAAACAGTCATCGCTCTGCACGTAATTGTCTTCAATCTTGTGTTTGATGATCTATAAACTTGAGAGATAGATGAGGTTGTGAAGAGGCTTTATATTATTTTGATGCAGATATTTGCAAGCCCGATGTACGAGTATTTGGACACGAAGTACGGGATCAAAGGAAGCGCGCTGAACGTGAAGAACTTGTCGTTCAGAATAGCGGTGAGAGGAGGGTACCTGGGCATAACAGCACTGGTGTCAGCTATGCTTCCTTTCCTTGGAGACTTCATGAGCCTTACAGGAGCAGTCAGCACATTCCCTCTAACATTTATCCTTGCAAATCATATGTACTTTGTGGCAAAGAAGGCCAAACTCAGCTCTGCACAGAAGCTTTGGCATTGGATTAATGTTTGCTTCTTTGGGTGCATGTCTTTAGCTGCAGCAGTTGCGGCTTTGAGGCTCATAGCAGTAGACTCCAAAAACTTCAGTTTATTTGCTGATCTTTGATCATCATATCCTATGCCCAATCTAATCATCATTTTCAGCTCTTGAAATCTCTCACAGTTTCTTCTCATATGGATAATATAGTATAGTGTAGCCCAGCTTAGGTTACAATTTCCTCCTCCTCTCATTCTTTTTTTTCAAGTCTCTTTTTATTTTCCCCTCTCTTTAATATTATGTAAGGACCAAAGGTGGAATATTTTAAAAAGTCAAAATAAAATAAAATAAAATAAAAAGATTTAGCTTCATCTGGTTGGCTCGTTTTGATGTGATTGTTGTGTTGGTTGACAATGCTCACGTTTTTTCAACACGGATAGATAAGAGATCACAAGAAACTTTATAAAAACCACTGTTGTGCTGAGATTAGGATGGAGGAGTATTTATAATATGAAAACCTTGGTCGGGTGGAGCCACTTTGAGTGCCAGCATTGTTTTTTTAATGATACATAAATATGTGATGACATAGGTAATTAATATGATTTTAAAGTTAAATGGTTAATTTGTTGTTATAGTATTTTATGTTGTAATTTATTTAAAGAAGGTATTAAATATAATTGAGATCGACCTCAAATATTTAGCGTTGGGGACGATATATTGATCTGGGCCGAGCCCGAGTTAGAGGTTTAAAGCCCAACTATGTGTTGCCCAACCCATCCATCAACAAAGCCCACAAACACAGTGCCTATAACTTCTCAGAATTAGGGTTTCAGAGAGAGTGAAAAGCAAGTTCGTCACTTCGTCCACCGTCGAAGCTCTGTAGCTGAAGGAGAAACTAGACGTCGAAGATGGTGAAAGGAAGACAAGGAGAGAGGGTCCGGTCTGTAAACTAAACCTACGCAATATCAACTTTTTTCACTTCCTCTTTCTACGATTTTAACCCTATAATTGTTTTCATTGGTCTTCGTGTCCGTTTTTCGCTGGAATCAGACTCTACGTCAGGGGAACAATTCTCGGCTACAAGAGGTAATCAAGCATTGCCGTCTATCCGCTTTTTCTATCATATTTTGTTGCTTTCTCTAAAATCGACGAAGGAATTATTGTTATTTTGCCGATATAATTTTGGAAAATGAAAGTAGATCATGTCCGAACTGTTAAAAAAGGGTGTTAATGCCAAGAATGTGATTTGTTCCGAAGCTAAGAATGATTGGTGTTGTGTTAGGTCGAAGTCGAACCAGTACCCAAACACTTCTTTACTCCAGATCGAGGGTGTTAATTCCAAGGATGAGGTTTCCTGGTACCAAGGTAAGCGCTTGGCATACATCTACAAGGCTAAAGTGAAGAAGAACGGATCCCACTATCGTTGCATCTGGGGCAAGGTTGCTAGGGCTCATGGTAACAGTGGCATCGTTAGAGCGAAGTTCAAGTCTAACCTACCACCGAAGTCCATGGTATCTGACTTGTTGTAAAGAAAAAAAAAAAAAACAACTAGCTGATGTGTGCCTCTCTTTGTTTTGGTTTTAACAAGTTTCTAACTTCTCTGCAGGGTGACAGAGTCAGAGTGTTCATGTATCCCAGCAACATTTAAGGTAACTGGTTTCTTTTTATGCTTGAAACTTTTAGACTCTGATGTTTCTCTTTATTTTTTCACGCTCGCTGTATTTGTATGTAACATGTTCTGATGATGTTTTTTTTGTGGCTTTTGTCTTTAGTATCAAATGCATTAGTTTAGTTTTCTATCTTAGTTGGTAGTTGCAATGTTCTTCCATAACCATATTGTTGTACAATGTGGGATGTCTGCGTCCCTTTCCCAAAAGGCCTCATACCTACGAACCCTGCTTGCATTCATCTGATAGTAGGCTCCATTACATGTTTAGATTTGGTGGGTTTGATCGTTTAGATCTTTTTTTTTAACCATGTATTTACCAGTCCATAACATTTGTGATATCACCTTTATGGTGCGTCCTTTTCTTACTACCCAATGTTGTCCATTTTTCAGCTGGGTAATATAAAGGGTTGAAGGATGAGTAGGGATAGAAGATGTAGAATGTGTCTATCAAATGTCTACTGCACTCACTCCTTTCTGATCCTATTCAAAGCTTCTTTCTTGGATTTTGACCCAAAAAAACAGGGTCAAGTTCTCCAGCCCCTTTCAATCATGACTACTAATAAACTCAGACTAAAAGACAAAAACCCAGATGGAATAGTAGAATCGATGGTTGAAAGGATAGGGAAATTAATGTGTGTAAAAATACCTAACTTCTCATGTTTTGATTTTGCCTACATACCTTAAAATGGAACAAATGAAAGGAGGAAGAGTGGGTTTGACCTTCATGCTAGGAGAAGTATCAAGATCATAAAGTATTTTCAAGGTTAGAGTCCGATGATGGAGAAAACTCAATGTTGCAGCTTGGATTCATTTTGTTAAGTAGTTTATTAGAATATGAAATTAGTCATGAACTGAAAGCCATTTGTTGGTGTTTGTGTAGTGTTTGTTTATCATGTTTTGACCAATTAATCAATTTTAAAATATTTTTTTGCCATGGGTCATTGTTGTGTTTCCTTTATAGGTAGTTCTTGTATTGGTTGTGGTCAATACTTGAATTTTAGGAAACGAAATTCATAAATTGTACATGGTTATACATAATAAATGTGGTCATTACTACATTAAATTGTATTGTTACAGTTGCTTTGTTGTTGAGAGGATCATGTTATTTGTCACAGACTTGTTTCTAATCAGGTGCTACGTATGCTTCTGAGTCCTTCATTTGTTGTATATTGTATTATGATGTTGCATTGACTCATGTTTCTGCTGTTAGATAATTACTGATATGAACAGACGTGATGTTTGAACTTTCTCAGACTAGCGGGCTCCAAATGTTTTGATTTTTTGTTGGGGGGTGGCGATGTGGAAATTAGTTCACTACACTACGTAGACAATCTAGTTTTCCATTTCACTACTGCTGATTAAATTACTCATCTTCTGTTTGTTTACCAATGCTTATTTTGTCTTTGCAGCAATGCCTTGCCTAGTTGAAACGAGTGGGTGGGTGTTACATGAAGGGATTTATATTTTTGTTACATTTTGTGAGCTAAGATAGAACCATTTTCTGTTTCTGAACTGAGTCATTTTTGCTATTTAGGCAATGGTCATGTAGTTGAACGAGTTTTAAAACCATTCGTTATTAACATTTTCATGTGTCAAAGTGATCAAGTGTTTCACTCTTCTCAAGTGGGTTTCCCGTATACAAACCCTCGTCGTACTTGCGGTCTAAGTTATTATGAAGTTGGGGCTAATGTTCTTATCGATAATGCTCTGATTTCCCTTTCTTCTCTATCCTATTATGGATGATCGAGGTCAAAGAAAATGCTTTGATGTTATCAAGCTTGCGATATTGGTCACTTAGCTAAATGAATTGTGAAGTCCTAGTGATCAGAGCTCATGTAGAATTTTATAATTGTTGGCATTATCTGGACAACAAAAGGTTGTGTTTGTCAAATTGAACCGAGTATTGGTGCCATCTACTTGTAGATTGGAAGCTACCATGTGGAGAAGAAGTGGTGATATGATGCATTATCAAAGGAAAGTCAACATATCTATATGCCTTTTTTATCTGAAGGGATTCATTAAAGTTACGTTCTCTTAGATGTAAGCAACTTAATGAATTTCTCGTAAAGTAAGGGTTGACATGCAAAGTAAAGAGATTTGATGTTTTGTTTGTGACGAATAATTTAGCTGTCACCTGGCCTTCCATTTTTATTTCTCGAGTCCTATTGATTAATCATATTACACTAAATTTGATGATTTTGAATAGTTTACTTACTAAGTAATGATAATGTCCAATTACGGAAGTAAAATTGATGATTACGAACTGCTTTTTGCTTCTAAAACAAGTATGATTTTCTTTTTAAAAATGATTCTATAAATAAAAGATTGGAATTTATGGATAAATAAAAGTTGGCTTGTACATCATTCTCAATAAATGTGTTGGAGTGAGTAGCGAAAGTCGATGATATCCGAAGTTTAAGATGACATCATGAGGCATTAGTGCAACTTGAGAGTTCTCCTATATTAAGCCAATATGTCCCAATAAGCATTAATGGATCAAAGCTTCACTTTACCCAATTATCTCTTAGAAAGTGTTACAATGTTTCAACAAATCTTACCCAATTATCTCTCTTGTAAGTGTCACAATATTTCACCAAATCTTGATAAGTGTTGTTGAAAATCATTCGTTAGTATTTTAGGGTTGTTTTGACCTAATAAAAGACCTAAACACAATCTAGCCAAGTTTCATATCGATATAAAAGTCGAATAAAACCTAGTTTCGGTATGTAATATAAAAAAATAAACTCACTTATAGTTTGACAAAACCGAATAAATGAAAAAGTGTAACAAGAAAATAAATAAGTATATATTTTCTCCTTGCTTAAAAATAAAAACAATTGTTTCTTTTTTTTTTTTGGAAAAGTAACAAGAAAAAAGTAATAAATAATAATAATTAACATATTGTAGGAATATGAATCCCTCGTTCTTCCTCTTCCTCGTCGGCCATCCTCAAATCTCGATTGCTTCCCATTTGACGAAGACCCATTTCTCCAATTTCCCCTTTTCAACTTTCTCCTCCTCTCTTCACACCACCCCCCAATTCTCCCATGGAATTCTGTTCTCAGATCCATGGAAAACCCCACCTTCCTTCCTCTGTAATGTGTCTCTTTCTCGCTTCACTTTTCTAGATTTGACTTCCAGATCCATGTGCTAGCGTCCTCAATCGGAGCTCCAATCGACGAGTTTCAAAAATCTCTGCCCTCCATCGAGACCGACAGCCGAAATGAAAGGTTCGAGTCGTTTTTTCACGATCGGGCTTGTCATTTCCTGGTACTCGTCCAACATTGGCGTTCTTTTGTTGAACAAGTATTTGCTTAGCAACTATGGCTTCAAGTACCCGATCTTCTTGACTATGTGCCACATGACTGCTTGCTCTTTGCTTAGCTATGTTGCGATTGCTTGGTTGAAGATGGTTCCGATGCAGACTATTCGATCTCGGATCCAATTTATGAAGATTTCGGCTCTTAGCTTTGTGTTTTGTATTTCTGTTGTCTTTGGCAACATTTCTCTTAGATATCTGCCAGTCTCGTTCAATCAGGCTGTTGGGGCTACCACGCCTTTCTTTACGGCGGTTTTTGCTTACCTCATGACGATGAAGAGGGAAGCTTGGCTCACTTATGTTACTCTCATCCCTGTTGTTACTGGCGTCATTATTGCTAGTGGGGTAAGAAGAACGAACACCTTCTACTTTTTTGCTAATCCAATTTCTGTGATCTTTGTGAGAGAGTTGCTTGATTCTTAGCTGTTGTAATTACTTGCTAATTGGGATTAAAATGCTCCTGTTTTGGTATTTGCTAATTGTTTCAACAACTTCTTTCAGCGAGTTTCGTCAGTTTGGTTTTAGGGTTTTTTTTTGTCCATGATTCAACAGGATAAGCATATGCAAGTGTCTGATCTGGGGTTGGAAATTTTGTTTGATATTTCTAAGTCAATGGCCGATATGCATTGTGATTCTTTTAGGGGTTGTCTCAAGGAGTATTCCGTATGAATGGTCACTTGATGCATTTTTTAAAAGAAAAAAAAAATGATTGTCGAGGAGTATTTCTCTCATCTTCTCTCTTTCTATTGGTGTTGGGAGGAATTTGGGTGGGAAAATGGAGATAGATGAGATGAGTTAGTTGTTGTTCTAGTCATGCTTGAATGATTGTTGCCTTTAGGAAAATTGGTTGTCATAATTAATGTTGTTTCTCTACTTTCCAGCTTTGTGTTACTGATTCTTTGTAGTGTCAATCGATATCAGGGTGAACCAAGTTTCCATCTGTTTGGATTTATAATATGTATCGCAGCTACGGCTGCAAGGGCACTCAAATCAGTACTGCAAGGAATTTTGCTTTCTTCTGAAGGGTAAGGGAGTTTTTGTTTTGTGATTTAATTGTGAATGGGAGAAAAATGAATAATTTGTTTTTAACTGAGAGCTGGGACATTTATCTTATCTTTCTCAGAGAGAAGCTGAATTCCATGAATCTTCTTCTGTATATGGCTCCTATAGCCGTTGTGTTTCTGCTGCCTGCAGCACTTTTCATGGAAGAAAATGTGGTCGGTATCACTCTGGCTCTTGCTCGAGAAAATAAAAAGATCATCTGGTATCTGCTATTCAACTCTGCACTTGCGTACTTTGTAAATCTGACCAACTTTTTGGTTACCAAACACACCAGTGCCTTGACACTTCAGGTATGCCTACTTTCTTCACTCATACTTATGTCTCTCTTATCTATCCTTCTTCGTGTTCGTTTTCCTTTTCTATAAGTAGTTTTTTCATTGTGTTCTTTTGAAAGTCCCCGGTAAATGCCATTTGAATGATGATGCATCCTTGGAGGGGGAGGAGTCTTCGTTTTCATCTTTTTGATCCATTCAAATGATGATTCCTTATGAGTTATTATGCTCTGTCCTTTTTTTTTAACCATGTTTTGTTTTTTTTTGTATTCCTTTGAGAGTCCCCAACAATTACATCATTAAAATGATCACACCCTTACAAGAAGTGATCTATGTTCTCTTCCTATATTCAAGTGTTTGTTTTTGGAGGGTTGAGACATTAGCATATACCATTTGAGGTATTGTTATTGAAGGATTTGTCAAAGCTCGCCTCAACAGTTTAATGTTGCTGTATTTGGGCTCTATATTACAGAAATTTTCTTTGTCGCTGTGCTTCAAAATATAAGTGTCATCTCCTCCCTCAAAACCCAAACTCTATCAGATAATTCATGAGCTGTTGTTCGTTTCAGGTTCTTGGAAATGCTAAGGGGGCTGTTGCTGTGGTGATCTCAATTTTAATTTTCAGAAATCCGGTGTCAGTTACTGGAATGCTTGGTTACGCACTCACAGTTATTGGAGTTATCCTCTATAGTGAATCCAAGAAAAGAAGCAAATGAGAAAAATGCAAACTGAAGTGCATTTTCTTACTCGTTTTTTGCACGGTGGCAGGCAGTAGCCTCAATACCGGAGGCAGTGGGTGTAGATCGGCCTGTTATAACTGCTTTTGACTATATAGCCTCCAAATTCTTTTTTCCCCTGAAAGCTTATTAGCTTAGGCATTGGTTTATATCTGTATCATCCTCACAACAAGATCTGTCACAAAATAGAGAATTTAATAAGGAAGAATTATGGGACAAGGCTTTACTTCTTTAGAAAGGATTAATAGAACTGATTATTTACATAAAACTCGCCTGTCATTGTCACTCCTTGATCAATTAAGGGGGAAAAACCACGTTTAATATGTTAATTCCTAGTTACTCTGAACTTTGTCAGAGGGTAATTCTGCTTGGTTGCAAGAAAATACAGAAATACATCAACTTCTCATTTCTCCTTCCATGGTCAGGATTTGGATGAAATGTAACCAATCCTGACCCCAAAATATTAGTCACCAATTGTTACAATAGATTCCAAAAACATATAGCCACCAATTGTTGCATTTATGTCACAAAATTACCCCTTGCTACTAACCTAACCAACAGGAGTTAAGAAGTGGCTAACGTTTCCTACTACCTAACTAATTTCACTTCGGGCATCACTCAAGTTCCATCGTTTCAATCTTCGGTTCCTTGGGAGTATTAGTTTCCTCTTCAGCATTGAATTCATTTACAGACTCCTTGTCCTCGTCAATCTTCATCTCTGATTCAGGTTTGGGCTTGACCTTTGGCTTCAAATCTGCTTTAGGTTTTGCTTTTGCTGTATTCTTGGGCTCTATCTCAGGTCTGCGAATCGCTTCAGCTGCAGCTTCTTCTTCTTCATCGATCTTAGGAGCCAAATAGTATCTTATATAACCCATACCTTCAATTCTGTATTCAATCACCATAGGTAGGTCTGAAGACATGCTAATGGTCACCTGAGTTGCCAGAGGGGTTGCCTTTGTGAAAGAGTTGAGGTACCTCAGGGCGAAGGTTAAGCTAACTGGTTCTTCCAACTCTATTATGACATCTTCTTCAGGCTGTGAAATTTCAATTCACAAAGAAATAAACCATCAAAACAACTGATCGACATTGATAAACCACTGTCCTACATTTTTTTAGAACAGAACAGGGCCCATAACATTCCCAGAATCAATTGTAATGAATTGTTTGTGCTGTGTGATTGAGTTACAAACCTTATCAACTGTGGTATTTCGTCTGCAAACGATATTGGCAGTGCCCATATCACCTCTGGTTGAGAATTGAACTCCTTCCTTGGACACAGAGATCAGAACTGAGACAAATCGGTTATTCGTTAACCTATACATGTTCGAATAATGCCTCCTAAAAGAAACGAAATGATTCAAATGATTACCAGTATCGCCAATGGTGCTGAGATCCCTGCAAATCCTCGCAAACTCAGCTGCTGGCATTCTAACAATTGACTGATATTCGGCATCAGGGATTCCGAGATGCTCGCTATCAATGTCCATCAACTTCATCTCAAAATCAGCTATCTTATCTTGCGCTAAACGCGGAAACGAACAATTATCAGTCAGAATAACCATTTCCTATCTCATCACTGAGATTCATGCATTGCATTGCTCATTGACGGAATCTAAAACTAGTCTACTAACTTCCATTGAGTTCATCAAAACCAGTGGATTAGTATTTCACCTTCAATGTCCGGAAACATTTCTCAGTTAGTCCTCGTTGGAAATGGTTCACGATCAAAGTATGTCGAAACAACTAACAGAAGATGCTTTATTAATTCTCTTTCTTTGTTTGTTCTTCGCTTATTCTCTTCTTTTTTTGTTCTTCGTTTTTTGGTTGTTGTAAATAATATAAATCATGCATAATCGATCTCTTCAAATCAATATCTATTAATATCTAAACTTTCAAATCAATAAATATTATCTTAAAATCGTTCTGGTTAATAACTTGTTTTGGTAAAAAAAAATAAAGAGGGAGGAAATGGGGTAGTTTACTGACAAGGGTTTTCGAACATGAAGGTGATGCAATCGCTACCATCATCGGCCTTGAGCGTAACGATGTCGTCGTTGCCAGCGCAGCGAAGCATCTTAGCCATATTGTTGAGGTTCATACCCATGGAGACGTTGCGATCGCAGCGATAGTGCTCGAAACCCTCTGAGCGGAGAAGGAGAGAGACCAAAGCAACGTGACTAGAATCCATGGCTTGGAGAGAGAAACCAGTAGGGGAACAATCAAAATTGGCGTCGTTAACGAGATCCTTCATGGCTTCAAGAACCTTCTTCAGAAGACCCCCTTGGAGTAGACGGAGCTCCAACATTTTTCTTTCGCAGAGAGTTAATGGCGGATTTTGGGGTTTCTTCGGTGATCGAGAAATGAAATAATTCATATAACGGATACGAAGAGACCCTCGTTGGGCGGGAGTGGGGACTCGGATTCCCGCCAGATCATCTACGACGTCGTTTTCTTAGTTTTAAATATGTTAAAAAAAAACTTTTAATTTTTTTTTTAAATTAAAAAATATAATTACAAAGATGGTATATAAAAGAAACTACATGTTTCAAAATATCCATGAATTTTTAAAAGTAATATCAATACACGAGCTGAAAAATCATGGAGGTTCCTTTTCTGTTTCCCATCATGAACCCGTGAGGATCAAAGTAGAACATACTAGGGAAGGGGGGAGGAAAAGGACAATTGACTCAACAAAGCGACAATCGGAAGTTTATAACTCGACCTTTGAAGCATTGGGATCGGAGGTTGCTGCTTGCCGTTTCATTGATGCAGACTTGATCAGATGGTTGTAGCTTCCCTTTTCCTTGAAAAGCTGGGAGAAGTGGTGTTTGCAGTACAAAATTCCATCAAGTGCAGCATAGTTTGATGGAGATAAAGAACAGCCACCGTGTGAGCACTTAAAACACGACTTGTGATACGCTTGGCTCTCAACTGTCACCTGCACACAAGCAATTCCCGCAATCCGTCACCAATAAAGGAACATCCGTGCAGATGCATTCAACGTACCAACCCAGAAAAACTACTCCTTTCTTTTAGGTTAAGCAATCTAAAGTTCCTCAAACAAGAGCCACATTCAAGCCTTCAGAAAACCAATTCATTGAAATGCAGTAACAGTAACATTAAGGAATGCTCGGTAAGAGTCAAATATTGTTCTCTTTAGACTTTCTCTTTTGGGCTTCTACTCAAGATTTTAAAACGCGTCTGATGGGGAGAGGTTTCCATACCCTTATAAAGAATGTTTCATTTTCCTCTTCAACCGATGTGGGATCTCACAATCCACCTCCGTTGGGGGGCCAGCGTTCTTGCTAGCACATCGTCCGGTGATTTGTTATGATACCATTTGTAACAGCCTAAGCCCACCGCTAGCGGGTATTATCCTCTTTGGGTTTTCTCTTCTATGCTTTCCCACAAGGTTTTAAAATGCGTCTGCTAGGGAGGAGTTTTCACACCCTTACAAGGAATGCTTTGTTCCCCTCTCCAACCGATGTGGGATCTCACAGCTCCTTTTTTTTAGAGGTCGATGTAAAGGTTGAAAACGATAGCATACAGAAGAAAGTCAAACCCCAGCAGAAAAGATAATTCACTGCATCATGAGACAATGAACAATTGATGCGATTAAGCAGGTTTTAACTGTTTGGATATCTTTCTAACGTCTTCTAAACTAACCTTCTCGAGAGGATATGCAGTTTTTCCACATGTAGCACATTTTTCTTGGGTCCCAGAAAACATGCGGGCAGCTTTGCTTGGTGACCTATTCTGTAGCCAACAAGAGACTACGAGATGAGCGGCTGTTTATAAATATAATCACAACTAGTTGCAGCATTGGGGTTAAACTTACCAGTTCTGGGGTTGGCTTGTCGGCGGACTTTGCAGCTGTAGAAAAAGAAAAATTTAGAAAATGTTGGTAAAAAGCAATAGCTACATGATCAAATGTAAGTTTGGAACATACGAGATAGAAAGTTCTTGCTGAAATTTCCAGTTTCCTTGAAGAGCTGCTCAAAATGAGGCTTACAGTACAGAACACCTTCCATTGAAGAATAATTACTCAGCTGAAAGCATTTGACAAGTCATTTCAGAAAAGTTGCCACATTCTGACCCACAAAAATGCTCGGTAAACATGCATAATCATGCTGAAGTGAGGCAAGAAAATTAAAGATTTCAATAAATGAGTCCTGAAAATGAAGTGATGTACCTTAAGAGTCCCTTTGCAATGGCTACATTTGAAACAAAGCTTGTGGAAAGCAACTCCATCAGCCGATAACTGATCTACAGGGTACACGGTCTTCTCACAAGCTTTGCACTTCTGTTGGGTGCCAATAAACGACATAGCTAAGCCTTGAAGTAGATCCGACTATCGTCAACTAATCAGAATCTCGTCCAATTCAAACCCACAAAGCGGTCCCGACCAAACAAACTTCCTTTTCCTAATGGCATTTCATCAAACACGTTCAATGCACAAAAAACCCAGAATCAAATTCAGACGGAAAAAAAAAGTAATACATAAAAGAAGTTGCATCCAATGATCTGAGAATCTCGGAAAACCAAATCCAAGAGCTCAACACACTTCAAAATGTACCGAAGAAAACGATCAAACCCAGAATCATGAACAAGCAAGATCTAGGTCAGAGATGAAATGCAATCGAAATCGAAGATGGGTACCTCAAATTAAGGAAGTAAGGAAATGAATCGATTGTTTTTAGGATGCAGCAAGTGGAGCGGAGAAAAAGAAGATAGTGAAATGCAAGAAACAAATAATTTATGATATATTGATTATTCACAGCGTCAAATTTGTTTATAGGGAAAACAAAGTGATAAAGTGAAAAGGGATGCGAGAAAATATCTTTGCCGGAAAGACACACATGGTTGCTTAAACTTTACTCTGTCCCGGTGCGACTTTCTTCTTCACCTTTTTCAGTACTGGAGCTGCACCATCGGCATCGTGCAAGTAACGACTTGTCGTTTTATCCTTGTTTTTCTGATTTAGCATTCTGTCTTTAAACCAAACATGCTTCTCTTTCAGTAAACTGAATTATCTTCATGAAAACAGATCATAAGGTTAAGAAAAGGATGCACTAAATTCCATACCTGAACTGCCTGAAGAAGCTTCACATTGTTTACTTAAAAGAGGCAAAAACCCCTTAGATCAACCTGAAAAACGAAACCAATCAAAACCCATCTACTGTTAGTCCAAGTAGACAGATGTCAAACGATTCACGATCAAAATAGAACATCATATCAATAATTTTGCTGAATAAACAAACAGTGACCCACTTGAACACACAATTCTGTTATGGGTCCTAAGCTATCTAACGATAGGGCTAAAAATGAAGTGATTTATTTTATAATAGTTCTTGAATATTAAATTTGTATTAATTTTTTTAAAAAATGAAGTGATTTCTTTTATATAAAATTATAAATTTTGAATTTGTTTAGTGCGTTTAAAAAACTTAAAAAAAAGTAATATTATTATGTTTCTAGAGTCAACCTTCGGCCCATCACAAGGAAAAAAATCCAAGGCCCATTTTCACGTTAATAGAAGCTACACTAAATTTGTCCCACATCGGAAACACGGAGACGGGAAGAGGTTAGATGCAGTATATAAAGGAAGGAACTAGTGCCGTAGAAACATACTTACCTGGACGGGATCAATGGGCGATCAGTAAGGCTCATGGTCTAGGTTGGTGACCTCCATTGCACTGCGGAGGGGTGCCCGTCTAAGGTCTACCCAAAGTGGTAGAACCTACGTCATAATTTGTGGTAGTGGGGGCCTGCGTGCGCGCGGCCCCTCCAATACCAGTGACAAAGGTTTCGTCCATTGCATTCCTTGATATCTGCTTCCATACCATGAACGCGCTTAAATTAATTATTTTGGCGTTCTGTGGAAGTTGGTTCCTGTGAAGGCAGAATTTGGAGCTCATGGTTTATTCTTGTATGTTTTTCTTTCAAGTGGGTCTATCGTGAACTAAGGTTAGTAGTGGGTCTATCGTCTATCGTCTCTCACCAATATACAGATCATCTCTCTGAATAAGTTTCTCCAATCAACCACTCAAAATGCACAAACACTTCCCTTCACGAACTTAAAGCCTTTTTTATTAAGCTTCATAAATATTATGGGAGGCTTGAATGGAAGTTATATGCTCAGATGTTCAAAATTTGTAAAACTGTGGAATTTGTAAATACTTAGAAATGTGGCCTGCCCCCCCCAGAGTTTAGAAGAGCTGTCCTCTGTTCACAAGATTCAAGGCCATGTCTACATCCCTGGCCAATTCAACCGCTGCCCCAACATAGCTCTGAGGTGTTAGATCCAACAGATTGGTCTTTGCTTCCTTCGGTATTTCCAACCCTTCAATAAACCTCCTTATACTTTCTTTGGTCACCGTCTTTCCTCTCGTTAATTCCTTTAGCTTCTCGTAAGGCTCCGGAACACCGTATCTTCGCATGACCTGTTGACATGGATAAGCAGACGAGATATAATTATATACGAGGAAAGCAAATATACGTTTTTTTTTTCTCTTTTTGTTATATTCAGGAGTGTTCAAACCAGCTTGCGTGTTGAATGGGACAATTGCCTAATCCTAATACATTTGGTTGCCAAGGTAATTCGTCACAGATTATTAACTCTAAACACATGACCAGCAATAATCCCAGGAGAACTTACACAACACTAGCACAACAGACCGAAGCAATTAATCAGAGATGTATAGAATGATACATACCGTCTGTATTGGTTCAGCAAGGACCTCCCATGATTGCTCCAAATCATCGTTGATACGACTCTCATTAACCTACAATGCAGCAGTAATCAAGTTGAAGGGAAACCCCACATAGAAGATGGCCAACAAGAACCAGGAGGAAGAAACTTTATGTTTTGAAACCATAAAACAAGAGTTAAACAGCATAGAAGATGATAGGTTGCATTGTGCTAGAAATTGCCCAGAATAAGACTGAAAAGACAATTTGTGCTTTCTTGTAGCCAGCTAACAAGCTTCTAAGTTCCATTCGTACCATGTAATCAATAGTTAAAAATTAGGGGTTAACTTGACCGCATATGAAGTGACCAGTTTGTTAGGATTCTTCTAGCAAGAAATACCCATAATCGAACTATACCCACCTAAAAAGTAGAAGTTGCTTTATTACATGCCATCAGAGGGAACATCTTTCACAAAACTAATAATGATTATGATGATTATTTGAGTACCTGAAGCTTTCCTATTCCTTGAAGTGTACTTTTGTAGGCAAGAAGAGAATGTCCAAGTCCAACACCCATGTTCCTTATAACAGTAGAATCAGTCAAGTCACGCTGCAAAAGAGAAGTATTTTTCATCAAACTCCTCCAAGTTGAATACAATCATTGAGTAGCCTACATGAAGTGAAAATTTTCATTTTTAACCCAAAACTTTAGAAAGCATGACTATGTAACACTACAGCCCACATTTACATGGTCACATCTCACATCAATAACTATCTACCGACTCAAAGCATAGAAGATCAAAAGTCAAAATAAAGGCACACCTGCCACCGAGATATAGGTAACTTTTCACTTAATTGTGCCAATGCTCCATTAGCCACACCAAGATTACCTTCACTGTTTTCAAAATCAATAGGATTTACTTTGTGAGGCATTGTTGAAGAACCGATTTCACCTGCCTTAGTTATCTGCCCAAAATAATAAACAATCATGTAACTCACCTTTTCTTTCATAGATACTAATGAAGAGATACATTAAGATCTCACCTGTTTAAAGTAGCCCAACGATATGTAACTCCAAATATCTCTGTCAAAGTCAATCAAGATGTTGTTGTATCTCACAATGGTAAAAAAGAGTCTTGCCATGTAGTCATGCGTTTCAATCTGAAAAAGGAGTATATTTATACAGTTAGGATTTCAGGATAATAATCAAATCATTCTATTTGTAAGTCTAATATCTTATCCCTCTAATGTCCAATTCTTATGTCCATAAGTTGCTTTCCGAAGATCATCATTACATCCTCAAACACCGAAACAGATTAACATGCTTGTTATTCAAAGTAAATGAAAACCCACAAACTACATCCTATATACATGTAGATTAAAGTATTATGAATAGTTGAATAGATAAAAAACGAACTACAGCAGATAAACAAGCCTAGACAAAACTTCTCGTCAAAAAGGAAAACCGAGTCTTTATATAAAGACAAACCTGAGTTACATAGGGATTGAAACTCAAATCCAAAGAGTTTACAAACTCTTTGGCCACTTTCGGCCAGTTAACATTTGGATATGCAACAAGATGCGCATTATAATTTCCAACTGCACCAGCAAACTTCCCCATTATCTTCACCTTAGAAACTTCCAACCTTTCTCTACTTAGTCTGACTGCAAATATTGCCATTTCCTTCCCTAAGGTTGAAGGTGACGCTGGCTACGAAATGAAAAAAGACACGTAAGGGGTTTGTTCATGAGAATAAAACATATTTCAAGTCACTCAAAAATCAAGACCAAGAATGACACAAGCACCAAACCATGAAACAGTTTATATTTTAAACAGTCAAAAGACGAATACACCATATATATCGTCAGCCAAAAACCTGTCCATGGGTGCGGCAAAGAATCGGAATGTGAGCGTTATCTTTGGCTATGGTGCTTATTGCATTTGTCAGCTTGTCCATAAAAGGGAGCAAAACATTTTCTAATGACTCTTTCAGCATGAGTCCATGGGCAAGATTGTTAATATCCTCGGATGTGCAAGAGAAATGAAAGAATTCAAGCACCTGAATTGCAGAACAGAATAGTTAAAAGATCTAAAAAAGTTTTAAGAACACATACAAGAAAAACAATTTTTAACAAACGGAAAACAGCAAGGTAAGTCCCACCTTAGAAATCTCAGGATGTGATTGACACCTCTGTTTTAAGAAATATTCAACTGCTTTGACATCATGATTCGTGACTTTTTCAATGCTTTTAATCTCCAAGGCATCATCCTCGCAGAAGTTATCAATTAATCCTTGTAAAAAAGCAGAAGCATCTTCACTGAATCTTGGGACCTCTACGATTTCAGGAATTTGCGATAGCTTCAATAACCACTTGATCTAATGACAAGTAGGAAAAAGAAAAGTCCTTGATCAATCAGGTATTATAAGAACAAAACCTTCCTCCCACCATGTGCGATGATATTCGCAAATAAAATCAAAACAATACATCTTTCCTCAGCTGTAAAAGAACAATAAATTTAAAAGAAACAAATTTTACAAATCAATCAATCAAATTTAAGAAGTACCTCAACCAGAACCCGGTAGAAGATCAACCCATATTCGCTTAGATAGGGGGCCAAGTCCTTGACCTTACCCCAATAACGACCATCTAAGGGAGACAAAGCCACCAAACTTGAGAGCTCATCTACAACATTGATTTTCTTCTGAGTAAAAGAACAATAAAACAAAAATCACAACCAAAATATAAGAAACGGAAATAGTTCATTGATCATCATCTTGAAGTAAAAATTCTAAAACACCATCAAGTTGAGCTTAATAAGCGCAGAAGAACTACCTTTTCCACCGGTACTTGGCAATCTTGTAGAGTGGCTTTGCAACCAAAATTTCTGTGGGGCTTACGATAAAAGGAACCATTTCGAAAAACACTTGAGGGTTCTTTAGATTTTTGAAAACCCATTGCGGCGCAAATGAATCGGGGCTGGTCCAAAACCCTACAGTTCGCTCCGACCTCCATGGATGAGTAAAGGGTAGTGAGAGCTAAAACCCTTTTTCTGCTTTCTTTCACCTGTGGTTTGGTTCGACCTTTTCAAGAGAACACGAACTTCATTCTTCATGTAAGTGTATTTGCACACGTGTCCTACCACGTCACAAAATTTTAAATTATAATCTCTTGTACAAGACTATTAGCTTTATTACGGGATTTCTTGGTGTACATTTTGGCGCCGCAGTAAAGGAACGGGAGTGCCAATGGCAATCCAAACGGTAATAATGAACTCCCAAAAACTTGAATTCTACAAGCGAAGTTCAAAGCCAATAGAGAATGAGAGTGACGACCATATCTGTTTTCAGGACAATAGCAGAGCCACATATGAACGAATGATCCAAATTGGCCTGACCCACTTGAACATCCTTTCAAGTAACCACAACCCATGCGGCAAAAACTCCTTCACCGCCTTATCTACTCTCATCCCTGCAACTTTGCAGCTCCATGTTCAATTAGAATAGTAGGTTGAGAGAATCAGAGTCCAATACTACTTGGATCGGATATGGAGACTGGAATTGCTTGCTGTGCTCGTGGGGCTTT